CTAAGTTTATGGAATTTGGACAATATGCATGCTGACAGACACATCTGCTAACCCAAATTTTTTTTCTTCCAAATGCACTGTCTTTGAAAATAATCTGAAATCAGATTTCTCAAAGAACCAAGCATACAATTATGAATCATGTTGATAGCGCTTGCTAGATAAGCAGTACATGTCACTATCATCTCTTAGAGCTATATATGTTTTGTGTACCAGTTACTCTTGAGGTATCCATGCAACAATAAGGAATGAAGGTTTTTTCCCTCTGACTACATACTTTATACTATTAGGTCGACAGTGATGACCAAATCTTAGATCTTTCCAATGGACTCAATTCCCACAGGATCTTGTCAGTAAGAAAGAACATACAAACAAAACTAAAACAAAACTGTAATCCTATCAATAAAATGACAGTTAAAGACTAATTTGAAGACTCAGTACACATAAACAACAATCAGATGAGTGTTTTATCATTAACATTTATTGATGGGATGGATAAATACAGATTGAGAAACATACTTGACAGCAAGATATCAAACTGATAGCCAGACTATAAAATTTATACAACATCCTTTCTTAAATTTTTTAAAAATTTTTTTGAATTTTTTACAAAGAGCCCTTACTGTAATGGTCACTTACATCCTATCATTCACATAACAGCAGTAGACATCCCAGGGGTAGCATCCAGAATTGTGGTGCCCCAAGGAAGACAGAGGCAACAGCAGAATACTATGCTGAGAAAGGACTCAAGAGCAATACAAAGAAAACAGACAAAAATACCACCACAAAATTGTACCTGAGTGACATAGATTGGTAAAGTGTTTTGCTTTTTTTTTTTTTCCTTCTTTGCTCTTTGGTCTGATAAGAAAACGGACTGTTTTAGGTGTGTGGAGGAGGTGGGAGAAAGGTCAGTTTCAAATCTAGAAACCTAGGTTAACACTAGCTAGGCTGCTGCATTCACTTCTTTGGGTGCTTAACCCAGCCAGCACTTCCATACTGTAACCAACTCCAATGTGATCAACCAACCACTAATCACTTAGGTCCTCAGCTTTCAACTGAAGAGTTCCTGATAACCAGATGGAGACATACTTGCTCTGGCTTCAATTAGCATGCTGTCAAGCATCCCTCTCCACACTTAACATGACAACAGAAAACCCCAGAGTCTTTCTCTTTTCATTCAACCATGAATACACACTCATAAAGGGGAAGAGTAGACACCGCTTTTTAGTAAACATTCTTTTTCTTTCCCTTCCTTTCCCAATGCCAAGTTCATATTAAAAACTTTAGGGACATTAAAATGGAAGAGTCTCCCACTTAAAAAATAATTCTCACTCCAGACCACTTTATCAGGTAGGATTACAGTACCATGCTTGTTTCAAACTCACATCCCCAGAGGGTTAAAAAGACAAAATAAAACTGACAGTGTGATACAACACAAACGTTTCTTAAACCATCAGGAGCAAACACTCAGTTAAAAGCTGGGTGTTAATAAGCAGCAACACGAGAAATTTGGGGAAGTATCAAAGTCACTGAAAGCTTAGTGGGACCGTGGAGGGCTTGTATCTCACCATGTGAAGGGTTGCATAGACTGCTTTAATTCTCCCAAACCCAAGAGAATAATATTTGTATTCCAACTTCAAAATGATCTAGAATCTCCCCTTTCCTAGCATTAGTATCAAAATAACTCTTCAATAAAATAATAATCCTTTTAAAAAATTAATCAGTTCCCAAGTTCCCACAGTTCATGTTTCTGTGGGAAACACAGACATGTTAAAATCCAACCATACTGGGATAAGACCCCTCTAATTGCCTTCGTCCAGAAGCAAGGTAGGAGGGCTGTGTATGGGGAATCAGGTAGCAGAGGCTTAAGGAAATCCAGGACTGATATTACCATGATTTTATTTCTATATCCTAATCCATTGCTGTTTTCAACTAGAGATTTAAAATTTTTCTATCAACACTGGTGAAGCCAATAATACAGAATTATGAACAAGGATACATTAAATCAAAACACTAAAATCATTTTTAAAAAAAGAGGAAGCTAGGGTCTCAGATATGGCAACACACTGATTCATGAGTGAGAAGACTAGACAAATTCCTACATATTTTCTAAACCCAAAAAGCATAACTGACACTTCGAAAGACCGATTTAGCTTTAGATTAATGCTTCACTAGAGTTGTTAATGGCAACACAGGTATCTGATTAAAAGCCCTAAGGACAATCCACAGGTATTTGTGCCAACATAAGATTCAAGCAAACTTTTAGGAATGAGATTTACAGAACTTGAGGCTCCAGTCCTGCTTAACACCACTTATCCTTGATAGCCTAGGTTAAAATGAGGGGGGAAAAGCCACATTTGCTAGACTAACTTTGGATATATATATCCCACTTTCACCCTTTGAATGTGTGAGAGTAAAGAAGACACAGAGTTTAGAAACCACACAACCCTTCAAAGCCCAAGTTTATGGAATTTGGACAATATGCATGCAAGTTGACAAACACATCTGCTAACCCAAAGACAATGCAGCAGCTTCATGGAGAGCCCATAAGGAGGTTCATGACATATGCATAGATCTAAAAGCAGACACTGTAGGTATCTTAAAACAGTATCAGGAGGCATTAACAAAGGAAAATCTCTAAATTGACCTATATCAGCAATGACCTACTAATGCAAAGGCCAGACTATGCAGCATAAAGCAGCTCTTAGGTTCTAAGCTCTAGTAAGCACTTTTTTCTAGTTCACTCCTCACAAAGTTCTAAGGAACTAACTCAGACCGCCACGGAGAACTGCTATAAGGCTAAGTGACTACATATGCCTCTGTGGTGAGGGAGTACATGTGATTAGAAAATATGTGACATTTGATGAGAAAAACTGAAAGCTGGGAAAGATATTTTCATAATCAAATCAGTGATCATCAATTCCACAAAGATACAGATGCAAACTAAATAACCTTTTGGGAAAGTCAGGAAGGAAAGCAGACTTCACCAAACAAAATCTAAATAAATACAAAACCTAAGTTTAGTAAACACACCACACATCTACCAATTACCTAGCACAACACAGAAAATTTCAAAGAGAAAGAGGAAAATGTCGTCTATAAAAGTGACGCGACATTCCAAGTCAAAAGCATTACTGGTTTATAGGTCAGCAGAGAGCTCATCTTACACAGCAATGGCAGGCACTCTAGAGAGTTCAAATACACAGAGATGCAGGACGCTAATTTACCTTCAGTTAAGGTTTACTGTACAAATTCTTTCCTATTTTAGGCCAGTGCATCACCAATTCCAACTGCCTCAGTTTTCTCCCCAACCTATTCCTGGCAAGCGGTAGCAGATGTACAACTCCTATCTCCCTATGACTTCCAATGAAAAAAATTCAATTTCTCCACAAAGAATACTTAGTGTGAAAGAAGCTGCACTAAAAAAAGACATATTCAAATTGCATCATCCTTTTCCATAGCAAAAAATGCCATGAAGACCAATGAATATCACATCAAATGATCTGTAGATAATGGCATTTTCAGTGAGACAACTTGGCTTAGAATTCTTTCTAAAGGATTCTTAGAAAACTCCTGAAGAACCTCTGCCTAGAAGTTAAAGCCACCAAAGATGGACAATGTAAACCTAACAGTATCTGTGCGCTAGGCTTGCTTACCTTCATGGCACCAGTACTGTTAAATTCACAAGCTCCAATCTCTGAAGTCATATAGGCTGCAAAAACTGAGGATGCAGCTGTTTCCCTTCAGACATACAGATAAAAGCAAGTTTTACATTCATAATGTAATTTAAAATACATTGTCCTAAAAATTCCCAATCACAATCTCTGGCTCCATGGCTTCTCCCAGAACTACTCTCACATATGGTCTGGTCTTTCATAGGCAGGATATGTAGCACATCCCCCCTCTCTTCAGAGACCCTGAGGCTGCTATCACTTGAACACTTTCCCAAAGCCCAACTTGAAAAAACACACGCCCAATCCTGCAGGGCAGAAGCCGGCCATGCTCTCCAACCCTTCTTCCTCAACCACATCTTTGTTCTGCATCAAAAGGAAAAAAAGGGTAAAAAGGAAGTTTTTATAATGGAGCCCAGAGTCAGGCCATTGGCTACACCTGCCCAAACCAGAATTCAGAAGGCTACCACTCAATTACAACATAAAGAAAGGGGAAAACACCATGTCCTACATGTATCTTCCTTCATGTTCTAAAGGCCACACCGTGCTCTCTCCAGGAGACTGTTGGGAAGTGAAAATGGTGAGGGACAAGGAGGGAAAGGTAAAACATGATTTTTAAACACACACACTTAAAAACACACATACCCACACTTACATACACACTTAAAGGTCTCAACACTTCAAGTGGCCGGAGCCTATCTGAGAACTCATGGCCAAAACCATATCCTCCCATTCCCCCTACACTCCCCCCTACCCTCCAATCCCACCCCCCAGGACTCATTGCTATGTATCTCATAAACACAGCAAAATCCCTATCCCCTCCCCATTTATATAAAAAAACTAAACAGATAACTTACTTTCTTTAAATTATTTTTTAAAAGTCTCTTAAAAGATTTTGACGTTTAAATACTTCCTCTCTTCTGATATATTAAACACCAAAATGATCCACAACTGTTTGATAAAACAAACCCTCCAGATTTCAGTCCTGGCAAGAAGAGGGAAGATATCAACTCTAATCAACCTAATTAGGAGGTGGAAAGGCCAAGAATAGAGAAAGTATTCTTAAGCCTTCACAGCTTCAACACATTCTCACCTCTCTAATACCAGTAAAAACTATAATAAAATAGTTAAATTTCTGAGGCAGCAGATATAGTGACGAAGGCCCTCTACCACCCTTCCACCTATGTCTCGATATTATTTTATTCCCTAGTCCAAGAAGGGTGACATATTTCATAAGGGAAGTAATTTTCTTAGTCCAGAATCAGTAGTTAAAAAAAGAGAGAAAGCATGTGTTTTTAAAGAAGTTTTTTTCTCCTCTTCTTTTTCTTTTCTACTTAGGAAGGGGTGGAAGTGGCGGAGGAGGTTCTGATGGTAGAGGTGGTAGCCTGGGTTTGTCTGTATTGCCAGATCTGGATGGCATTCCACCAGCCCGTGGATTCAGATATTCACCGTAAGAATGAACAAATTCCAATGCAGGGGGCTGAGTGGGCTGAACACCCTGGGCATGGAGAAGGGAGTGAAGCATATTCACAGTATCTTGATAGTCTATCGTCTGGGTTGTGTTGTGACCATTGGCCCCCGTGGGGCCTTTATCCAGTTTCATATGAGGAACTCGAGTTTTACAGCTGGGCTGTGAAAAAGGAAGGCCACTTGTGTCTGAGCTATGCCCAGGCAACTGGGCCATTGTAGGAAGAGGAGGGAAGAAATTTATGGAAGAGGATTTAGTACTCTTGGCAATCTTCGCTGGATGATCAAAAAGTGCCCCTCCAGTCTCTTCAGGGGGGCCCCTTTTACGACTAGAACTGGAAGAGGAGAAAGAACTAGACAAGCTATAGGTTTTGTGTGCTAAGGTGCTTGTCTGACTGCTATGTTTTGGATCACCTGGCCGTTTGTTCCCAGTACCAGCTGGAAGCTGTGAGTGAGAGTGCTTGTGTGAGTGGTGATTATGATGATGATGATGATTAGATGGGTGAGTCTTGTGCTTCTCTTTGTGCTCTCGGCTCTTTGTGACACTGTCATCTATAGAATTGTGCTTGTCAGGTGCAGCATGGACTTTAATGCGCATTTTTATCTCCTCTGGTTTTGAAGAGGCAGCTTTATCTCCACTTGCAACTGGGATTCTCATTTTGAGAGCTGTTTTGTCAGGCTTTTCCAGAAAAGGCCGCTCGGGGTTTTCTGAACCCTCTATGGGCATTTTCAGAATAACTGAAGAATGGCTATCATGGTGAGATAGGAGATTCTGGGCAGCATATGCATACTGTGACTTTACGTTGGCCTCCATGTTCTCCAGTTGCCTCTTCTGGGCAGCCAACTCTTCTGCATGCTTTGCACGGTATTCTTTCAGTGACACTTTAGCTGATGGCACACTCTTACTACTATTCTGCTTCTGGGAAATAAATGCATTCGAACCATCCTGTTGCAAGGAATGATCAACTCCTATAAGTGCTAGATTCTCACTAGTCCGATGGCCCTGAGCAGGTTCTAGTTTAAAAGGAGGTTGGGAGGACAGCCAACGCTCGCCCTGCAACATCTCCACACCGCTCAAGTTGCTGGATGACTCTTCAGTGGTTGGAAGGGAAGGCACTGTACTTGTGGTAGAAGAAGTTGACATGCTCATTAAACCTGCAATAGTTGTGTCGGAGGAGCTCTGGGAAATCATATTGAGGATTGTCTGCTCTGAAGTGTTTTCATCTGTTCCTCGGTCATCTGCTTTTGTTTTCTTGGCAGCCTGGCATGCCTAGAATGAAGCAAATGACATCTCTTCACTTCAGGTAATTTATCAAGTGGAAAAAAACACTGAAATGAGTAGACTGTGCTTCCTGTACATTGGGAATTCTGGATAGCCCATAAGCAGAAGGCTACTCCAACATGAGATCAGTAATTATTGCCAATACGAGACATAAGATTTTTAAAAGCTTCAATTAAGAGTCACACAAACAGGATGTGAAAGAGATGTCTGCATTCATTGCAGTATTATTCACAATACTCAAGATATGAAAGCAACCCAAGAGTCCATCAATGAATGAATGGATAAAGAAAATGAAATATTATTTAGCCTTAAAAAATGAGCAGAAGGATTCTGGGAAGATGGCGGAGTAGGAAGCACCAGGAAATCTATCTCCCCACCCAGACAATTACATTGGCAGAATCTGTCTGAAGCAACTATTTTGAAATTCTGGAGTCTTTTGAAGGCTTGCAACTTCCAGGGTAAACCGCAGACAGTAAATCCGGGTTAATTTCCATCAATTTCAGCTCTCAAAACAGTAGCAATGACTAAGCCCCCACCCCTAGCCATGTAGCAGGCAGCTAGGCATCTATTCCTGGAGCAGCTTGCACACAGCTTGTGAGAGCCAGAGTGGGCAAAAAGGACTCTCTCCTCCATATATTGGGGATCTGTGCTCTGATCGCTGATTGCTGCTGCTTCTGATCACAAAGGTACAAAGAGGGAGGCAGCCATTGTTCTTGCACCTTCCTCCACTGTTGCAAGCCCCTCCCCATCTGGCTGAAGTGACTTCCAGGGGATTGAAAAGGCCAACACTCTTCCTCCCCTCCTTCATCTTTTGCTTTTTCCCCTTTTGGGTGCCAGACATTAAAGAGTAGGACATTCAAAAACAAATGCATACACAGGGAAAATTAGAAAAAGACCACACATGTCCAGGGAAAGGCTCAGAAAAGACCAGAGAAGACCTTAAGTTTACACCTCAGGCTGATCTTCAGCACGGACACCCTAAAAAATCAACCCCCCTGCCCCTACAAAATAAACAAAAACAATAACATAAAACAGCAAACCCTGGGGGAGGGAGAGAATCTGATTTCCAGAATTACCGTGTTATTAGATTCAAATGTCCGGTGTTCACCAAAAGAAACACGAGGCATATAAAGAAACAGGAAAGTATGGCCCATTCAAAGGAAAAAATAAATCAACAGAAACTGTCCCTGAAAAACCTCTGATGGCAGATCTACAAGACAAAGACTTTAAGTCCCTTAAAGATACTCAAAGAATTAAAGGAAGATGTGGGGAAAGTCAAGAAAACAATGTGTGAACAAAATGGAAACATCAGTAAGAAGACAGAAAATCTAAAAAGAAACCCTGGAGCTGAAAAGTACAATAACTGAAATGAAAAATGCACTAGAGGGATTCAAAGGCAGATCTGAGCAGGCAGAAGAAAGAATCAGCAAACGTGATGATTGGACAATGGAAATTATTGAGTCTGAAGAAGAGAAAGAAAAGAGATTGAAGCAAGTGAACAGAGGTTAAGAGACCTATGGGATATCATCAAGAGAACCACCATATGCATTGTGGGAGCTCTAGAAGGAGAAAAGAGTGAGAAAAGAACAAAGAGAATATTTGAAGAAATAGCAGCTGAAAACTTCCCAAATTTGATGAAAGACATGAACATAAACATCTAAGAACCTCAACAAACTCAAAAACAAGATGAACGCAAAAGAGATTCACACCAAGACATACTACAGATCTTCCTTGACTTACCATGGGGTTACGTCCCAATAAACCCATCCTAAATTGAAAATATCTTAAGTCAAAAATGCCTCTAACACACCTAACCTACCAAACATAATAGCTTAGCTACCGTACCTTCAACATGCTCAAAACATTTACACTAGCCTATGGTTGGGCAAAATCATTAACACAGAGTCTATTTTTATAATAAAGTGTTGAATATCTCATGTAATTTATTGAATACTGCACTGAAAGTGAAAAACAAAATGATCATATGGGTACAGAATAGTTCTAAGTGTATGAGTTGTTTTCACTTGTGATCGTGTGGCTGATTGGGAGCTGCAGCTTGCTGCTGCTGCCCAGCACCATGAGAAAGTATCATACCACCTATCATTAGCCCAGGGAAAAAAAAAACTCAAAATTTGAAGTATAGTTTCTACTGAATGCATATTCTTTCACATCACTGCAAAGTTGAAAAATTGTAAGCTGAACCATTGTTAAGTCAGAGACTGCCTATAATGACACTTTCAAAAGCCAAAAACAGGGCCAGCCTGGTGGCGCAGTGGTTAAGTGCGCACGTTCCACTTCTTTGCGGCCCGGGGTTCGCCAGTTAGGATCCCAGGTGCGGACATGACACCACTTGGCAAAAGCCATGCTGTGGTAGGTGTGCCATGTATAAAGTAGAGGAAGATGGGCATGGATGTTAACTCAGGGCCAGTCTTCCTCAGCAAAAAAAAAAAAAAGAGGAGGATTGGCAGTAGTTAGCTCAGGGCTAATCTTCCTTGAAAGAAAAAAAAAAGCCAAAAGCAGAATCTTGAAAGCAGCAACAAAGAACTGAACCAACACATACAAGAGATCCTCAATAAGATCATGAGAGTCAGCCCCAGTGACCTAGTGATTAAGTTCAGCATGCTCCACTTCAGTGACCCGAGTTCAGTTCCCAGGCACGGACCTACACCATTGTAGCAGCCATGCTGTGCTGGCAGCCCACACACTAAAAAAACAGAGAAAGACTGACACAGATGTTAGCTCAGAGCGAATCTTCGTCAACAACAACAAAAAGATCATGAGGGGCCAGCCCAGTGGCGCAGAGGCTAAGTGCGGACATTCCACTTTGGTGGCCAGGGGTTCGCCAGTTTGGATCCTGGTTGAGGACATGGCACCACTTGGCAAGCCATACTGTGATAGGCGTCCCACGTATAAAGTAGAGGAAGATAAGCATGGATGTTGGCTCAGGGCCAGTCTTCCTCAGCATAAAGAAGAGGACTGGTAGCAGTTAGCTCAGGGCTAATCTTCCTCAAAATAGGATGATGAGATTTCTCATCAGAAACTTTGGAGGTCAGAAGACACTGAGCCGATACATTCCAAGTGCTAAAAGAAAAAGATGTCAACTAAGAATCCCATAGCCAGCAAAAATGTCCTTCAACAAAATAAAGGAGAAATTAAGACATTTCCAGACAAATAAAAGCTGAGGGAGTTCATGACCACTGGACCAGTCATATAAGATATGCTCAAGGGAGCCCTCCAAGGTGAAACGAAAGGAGACTAGACAGTAACTTGAAGCTATATGGAGAAATACACATCTCAATAAAGGTAAATACATGGGCAATTACAAAGGCTAGTATTACTGTAACAATGATTTGTAACCGTGCTTTTTGTTTTCTACATGACTTAAGAGATTAACACATTTTAAGGAAAAATATTTATTAATGTAAAACCTAGTATTACTGTAACTTTGATTTATAACTCCAAATCTTATTTTCTATAAAGTTTAAGAGCCTAACACATTTAAAAGAATTACTAGTTTATGTTCTGGGACACATAATGTATAAAGATATAATTTGGTGACATCAACAACCAAAAGGGGTGAGGATGCATCTGTAAAGGAGACGAGTTTTGTATGTTATAAAAGTTAAACTGTTATAAATTCAAGTTAGAGTAATGTAACTTTAGGATATTAAATGTAATTCCCATGGTAACCACAAAGAAAACAGCTGTAGAATATACAAAAGAGGAAAATGTGAAAGGAATTTAAAATTTTCACCACAAAAGATTAATAAAAAAGAAGACAGTAATGCAGGAAACAGGACAAAAAGCTATAAAGCATATATAAAGCAAATAGCACGATGACAGAAGTAAATCCTTCCTTATCTGTAATTACTTCAGGTGTAAATGGATTACGCTCTTAATAAAAAGACTCAAAGAAAAGAGATTGGTAGAATGTATTAAAAAAACACGATCCAGGGGCTGGCCCCGCAGCCGAGTGGTTAAGTTCGCGCGCTCCGCTGCAGGCGGCCCAGTGTTTCGTTGGTTCGAATCCTGGGCGCGGACATGGCACTGCTCATCAAACCACGCTGAGGCAGTGCCCCACATGCCACAACTAGAAGGACCCAGAACGAAGAACATACAACTATGTACACCAGGGGGCTTTGGGGAGAAAAAGGAAAAAATAAAATCTTAAAAAAAATAAATAATAAAATAAATAAATAAATAAACCCACAATCCAACTATATGCTGTCTACAAGCAACTGAAAGACCCAAACAGGCTGAAAGCAAAAGGAAGGAAAAAGATATATCATGCAAACAATAACTAATAAGAGCAGAGGTGGCTACATTAATATCAGACAAAATCAACTTCAAATCAAAAAAGGTTTCAAGAGACAAAGAAGAACATTATACATTAACAAAAGACTCAATACAGCAATAAGATATAACAATTATAAACATTTACACACCTAATGACAGATCATCAAAATATACGAAGCAAAACCCGACAAACTGAAGGGAGAAACAGACGGTTTTACAATAACAGTTGGAGACTTCAATACCCCATTCACAATAAGAAATAGAACAAGCAGACAGAAGATAAGGAAATAGAGGGCTTAAAAAATAAACCAACTAGATCTAACAGACGTATACAGAACACACTACCAAACAACAGTAGCATACACATTCTTCTCAAGAGCTCATGGGATACTTTCCAGGAGAGAACATATGTTAGGCCACAAACTAAGTCTCAACAGATTTTAAAAGGTAGATATCATACAAAGCATCTTTTCTGACCACAGCAGGATAAAGTTAGAAATTAATTAACACAAGGGAAATTGAAAAATTCACAAAATTGGGGAAATTAAACAACACACTCTTAAACAACCAATGGATCAAAGAAGAAACCAAAAGGGAAATCAAAAAATACTTACAGATGAATGAAAATGAAAACACAGCACATCAAAATTTATGGGACAACGTGAAAGTGGTGCTAAGGCAGAAATTTATAGCTATAAATGCTTACATAAAAAAACAAGATCTTAAGGGCCGGCCCCGTGACCAAGTGGTTAAGTTCGCGAACTCCACTTCAGTGGCTCAGGGTTTCGCCAGTTCGGGTCCTGGGCACAGACATGGCACCGCTCATTAGGCCATGCTGAGGCAGCATCCCACCTACCACAACTAGAAGGACCCACAACTGAAATATGTAGCTGTGTACTGGGGGGATTTGGGGAGAAAAAGCAGGGGGGAGAAAAACAAGAAGATTGGCAACAGTTGTTAGCTCAAGTGCCAATCTTTAAAAAAAAAACAAGATCTTACAGTAACTTTACAACTTATAGATCTAGAAAAAGAAGATCCAACTAAATCTAAATCCAAAGCTAGCAGAAGGAAGGCTATAATAAAGATTAGAGAAGAGATAAAACAAAACAGAAAAATAGAGAAAAATCAATGAAACAAAAAGTTGGTTCTTTGAGAAGATCAACAAAATTGACAAACCTTTAGCTAGATGGACTAAGGGAAAAAGGAGACTCAAACTACTAAAATCAGAAATAAAAGTGGAGACAATGTTACAGATTCTGCAGAAATAAGGATTATAAGAAGAGTACTGGGGCCAGCCGCGTGGCTAAGTTCATGTGCTCCGCTTTGGCAGGCCAGGGTTTTGCTGGTTCAGATAATGGGCGCGGACATGGCACTGCTCGTCAGGCCACGCTGAGGTGGTGTCCCATATGTCACAACTAGAAGGACCCACAACTAAAATATACAACTATGCACTCGGGGTATTTGGGGAGAAAAAGCAGGAAAAAAAAAAAGACGATTGGCAACAGTTGTTAGCTCAGGCACCAATCTTTTTAAAAAAAAGAGTACTATCAACAATTGTACACCAACAAATTGGATAATCTAGATGAAATGGAGAAATTCCTAGAAACACACAAAACCTACCAAGACTAAATCTTGAAGAAATACAAAATCTGAATAGACTTATAACTAGTAAGAAGATTGAATCAATAATCAAAAATCTCCAAAGAAAGATAAGCCCTTCACCAGTTAATCCTACCAAACATTTAAAGAAGTAATACCAATCCTTTTCAAACTTTCCCAAAAATTTGAAGGGGAGGGAACAGCTCCCAATTCATTCTATGAGGCCAGCATTACCCAGATACCAAAGCCAGACAAAGACACTGGAAGAAAAGAAAATTATAGACCAATATCCCTTATGACCATTGATGCAAAAATCCTCGAGAAAAAAAATACTAGCAAACTGAATTCAGTGGCATATTAAAAGGATCATATACATGACTAAGTGGGATTTATTCCAGGAATGCAAGGATGGTTCAACATACAAAAATCAATCCACATAATACGCCACTAAACAGAATGAAGGAAAAAACCACATGATCATCTCAACCGATGCAGAAAAAGTGTCCAACAAAATTCAACACACTTTCATGATAAAAACACTCAACAAACCAGGAATCTAAGGAAATTACCTCAACATAATAAAAGCCATATATGAAACACCCACAGTGAACATCAGATTCAATGGTGCAAAACCGAAAGCTTTCTCTAAGATCAGGAACAAGGCAAAAAGGCTCACTTTCATGACTTTAACGTAGTACTAGACGTTTTCATGATATAGTACTGGAAGTTCTCATCAGAGCAACTAGGCAAAAAAAGAAATAAAAGGCATCCAAATTGGAAAAGAAGAAGCAAAACTATCTGTTTGCAGATATGATCTTATATGTAGAAAACTCTAAAGATTCCACCAAAAAAAATTAGCATTAATAAATGAATTCAGCAACATAAGCAAGATACAAGGTCAACACACAAAATTCAGTTGCATTTCCATACACAATGAACAATCTGAAAGGGAAATTATGAAAACATTTCCATTTATAAAAGTAACAAAAAGAATAAAATACTTAGCAATTAACTTAACCAAGGAGGTGAAAGACACGTACAATGAAACCTGCAAAACATTGCTGAAAGAAATTAAATAAGACATAAAGGGAAACTCATCCCATGTTCTGGATTTGAAGATTTAATATTGTTAAAATGTGAGTGCTACCCCAAAGCAATCTACAGATTCAATGGAATCCCTATCAAAATCTCAATGACATTTTTTTTGAAGAAACAGAAAAATTCACCCTAAGGAATCTCAAGGGATGATGAATAGCCAAAACAATCTTGAAAATAAGGAACAAAACTGGAGGACTCACACTTCCTGATTTCAAAACTTACTATAAAGCTACAGTAATCAACAGAGTGTGGTACTGGCATAAAGACAAGCATACAGATAAGCGGAATAGAATAGAGACCCCAGAAATAAACCCTTGCATATATGGTCAAATGATTTTTGACAAGGGTGTCAAGACTATTCAATGGGAAAAGGATAGCCTTCAACAAATGGTCTGGGAAAACTGGATATCCACATGCAAAAGAATGAAGTTGGACCCTTACCTAACATCATACACGAAAATTAACTCAAAATGGATAAAGGGCCTAAATGTTAGACCTACAAAAATAAAAATCACAGAATAAAACATAAGACAAAAGCTTCATGAGACTGGATTTAGCAATGATTTCCTGGATATGATACCAAAGGCATAGGTAACAACAACAAAAAAAGGACAATTCAGACTTCACAGAAATTTAAAAATTCTGTGCATCAAAAGGCAGAACCAAGAGTAAAAAGACAACCCACAGAATGGAAGAAAATATTTGTAAATCATACATCTGCTAAGGGATTAATAACCAGAATACATGGAGAACTCCTAAAACTCAACAAAAAAACAAACAACCCAATTCAAAAATGGACAAAGGGACTTGAATGAATAGACATTTCTCCCAAGATAAAGAAATGGCCAATCAGCACATGAAAAGCTGCTTAACATCATTAATCATTAGGAAAATGCAAATCAAAACTACAATGAGATACCACCTCATACCTATTACGATGGTTACTATCAAAAAAATAAAACACGTGCTGGTGAGAATGTGAAGAAACTGAACTTTTATACACTGTCAGCAGGAATGTAAAATAGTACAGCCACTATGGAAAACACTGTCGTCGTTCCTCAACAAATTAAAAATAGAACTACTGTATGATCCAGGAATTCCATTCCTGGGTACATACCCAAAAGAACTGAAAGCAGGCTTTTGAAGAGATATTTGTACACCCATGTTCATAGTAGCGTTACTCTCAATACCTAAAATGTGGAAGCAAGCCAAGTGTCCATCAAAAGAAGAATGGATAGACAAATGCGGCATATACATACAACAGCATATTATTCAGACTTTAAAAGGGATGAAATTCTACAATAAGCTACAACATTTATGAAGCTTGAGGACTCTATGCAAATTGAAATAAGCCAGTCCCAAAAAGACAAATTGTGTATGATTCCATTTACATGAGGTACTTTAGAGTAGCTGAAATCATAAAAACAGAAAATAGTGGTTGCCAGGGACTGGGGTCAGGGGAAATGGAGAGTTATTGTTTAATGGTTATAGAGTTTCAGTTTTACAAGATGAAAAAAGGTATGGGGATAGATGGTAAAGATGATTGTAGAACAATATGAATATATTTAATACCACTGAACTGTATGCTTAAAAATGGTTAAGATAGCAAATTTTACGTTATTTGTATTTTACTACAATAAAAAAATAAAAGGAAACCTTGACATTTACAACAACACAGATGAACCTAGAGGACCTTTTGCTAAGTGAAATAAGCCAGACACAGAAAGACAAATATTGCATGATCTCACTCATATGGAGAATCTAAAATAGTTAAAACTCGTATAGGTAGAGAGAAGAACAGTGGTTGCCAGGGTCTGGCGGGGAGGAGGGGAGAATGAGAACTATTAGTCAAAGGACACAAAGTTTCAGTTATACAAGATGAGTAAGTCCTAGAGATCAACTGTACAGCATAGTACCTAGTTAACAATACAGTACTGTATACGTTATCCTTCTCAGCCTTTTGGCTAAGATCATGTGCAGTATTATATACTTAAAAATTTGCTTAAATATTCTATCACAAAAAAAAAATTCATAGCACTCTATACCAGTGCTAGAAGGCAATAAAAAAATGAAGTTGTACATATCTAAAATTCATTCATGAACATCTGTGCCTTATAACTGCTTATGATTGCAGCAAATTCTAAATTCTAGAATTTTATCCAAAAGCAAATTCTAGAAATTTTGGTAATGTTTTATATGAAAGTAAAAGATGGCTGATGTGCTCCTAAGTCTCCTTTGATCCCTAGGCAAACTCATTTTCTGCAACTCACTCGACTCAGGAGAATGAAATTAAGCTTATCAGTCTGGATATCTGAAAAACGCAGGGAATATTTTTAAACGAACTTTCTATTTGACACTGAAAAAAAAAGGAATGATTCGATTAGTCGTAAGTAATACTTTGAAAAACATTTGAAATACAACTTTAAAGTGCACTCTATATAAAAAGAAAATTCTAAAATCCACTTAAAAAGCAGGTAATGTCAAAGACAAAATTGTGATACCAGCTCTAACCCTGTAACTCTGTATCCTTCCTCTACCAGAAGCCAACACTGTGACTCAAAGAAGCCACAGTGTTTTCCTTAACAGTCTCCACAGAGAAAATACTCAACCAATGTTGCTGACCAAATGATTGTATCACAAGAGTTGCAAAACACAAAACAATCACGCTATCAACTACAGGCATTGACTTCTGGGCCAGTATCCAAGCTATGACGTTGCAGTCATGATCATTGCATAACTACAAAAAGGGAAATTCCAAACCTAGGGTACATAGCCAATTCTAGTATATTCACTGGTGCAGTCAAAGAAGAAAATCATCTGTTCCACAAGCTGACAGCAATAATTCTTACCCTCCAATTCCGAATTCGTTTCAGCCTGTTGGGGGTTTTCTCCAGAATCTGTAGAAATTCATGTGTCAGTTCTACAAATGAAATAGAACATTTCAGAAAAACTCAGAGAGGCAAAAGTAATGAAACAAGAATAACCTCAACTAACTATTTTCATCTGAATCATGTCACCTTTGGCCAGATATGTGACAGATCAAGAGCAAGTGCTTTTCAAGGTCCCTTACTCTAAAACTTACCATCTAAAAGTTCCAAGGTCACAGTGGCGTCAACATACTCCCACCAGTGCTTCCCATCAGTTGAGACTGGGATCTCCCAGTTGGACCACTTGCAAGCCAGATGAATGCAGACACAGGCCACCACAGGAGGTGTGTACTGCAGGCTAAATGTGGTCAAATGCAGGCTGACATCAAAGGGAAGGAAACAAGAGAGTGTCATGAGCTCTCAATTCTGAACCCAAGTTAAAACTCTCCATTATTTTTAAAAAAAAAAAAAGTTTAAAAAAACACTGGAGAGCAAGAAGGGCAAGAAATATCCAGTGCTCTGATCCAGTACTCAACATGCTGGATTGAGTGCTGCTCCATTAACTCCATTAACCCATCTTCTCGGTAACAACATCTCTAAATTTTCTGACTACACATCATTCAATCCACACACTGACCAAGGACCAAAAAACAAAAAACAAAAAACAAAAATAAAAGACTTGTTTTTTAAACAAGGATAAATTATCCTTAGAATAAGTTCAGAACTTAAAGAAAATTGTAAGATTTTTGATACATATAATCCCTAAATCAAACACTTAAGGAAATCTCCTAAAAATTATCTCATTTCTTCCAATCATAGGTCTGGTCTATTTAAAATGACAAATATGCAATCAACTCTCTCAAGTGTGAATATGCTTGATTGATGCTTTATTTAAAAAATTTTTCTTATCAGGCTATAAAAATGAACTTCTTAGTCCTGACAGTCATTAGGAATATCTTTGGTTTCCATGAAGAATCAACAGACTGGAGATGAGAATGAGCAAGTCATTTGGTAATACAAATTATGATTAACGATTTTTTTCTTTAAAAGGGGAAGAAGAAAGAAAAATTATTACAACTCTTCACACATATACATGCCCATTTATATGGGAGTGGGGGGAAGAAAAAGGAGTGTTTTAAAATATCGCAATTATTGCGGAATCCTCCAAATTAGATTTTTAGTCACTGTCAGTGAACCTCAATTTTACCCCAACTTTCAGAACTATGCTCTTGGATATTTTAAAGCAAAGTAACACATGCAGAATTAAGCAGGCTATCAATCAATACTAAATAATTACATTAACTCAGCAAATTAAAAAAGCACCATGGAAATTTAAGGTACAACATGAAAACTGCAGAAAAATCAACATTTACCAGAGAATTGTCTATAACACATTGTATCAAAGATCCATGCCTGGGTCTTTGGGTTCTAGTTTACTAAGTGCCAGACCTGACAACTTTCCATATACCCCTCAAAAAAGTGACAATTCCAACCCAAGTAAAGTCCTAGCCCAAAAATAGAAGGGAAAAGTATTAAAATATAAACCTGTTGGTTGCCATGAAGTAAGAAGTCTGTGCTAAGTCCTTGCTTGCTAAAAAAAAAAAAAAGGGGGGGGGAGGGGGGTAAGGAAAATGTTATTAGTTCCATTCATTCTCAACAATTATTTAGTAAGCATTTAATGTTTGCAAAGTAGAAACTATAGTGGTGAATAAAGTAGATATGGTCCCTGACCACCTGACATTTACATTCTACCAAAGGAGACAGATAAACGATTTTTAATTATAACATTAATAATTAATGCTGCTTCAGGACCTAGGGACTCAAGCTTTATTCTGCACACCAGGTATCTCGGGTACTTGTTTAAAGTGCAATCCCTGGGCATCCTTCCTAGAATGACTCAATATGTATGGAGAAGGATGCAAGCATTTTTAACAAGTAATCTAGAGATTCTGATGCAATGGTTCACCGAGAAATACTGTAGTAGGGGATGAGCTAATTTGGAGGCAAGATCAGATCTAGAAGACCTTGATCTATTTGGGAAAAGAGATTTTTGGTTAAAAAAGAAAATTAAAAATTTTAAATTGAGTAGCCTGTGATTTAATCTCCAAATCACCAAATAACAAACTATTTAATATATTACAATAAAAAAACACATTCCTCCTTCCAAAAGAAAACTGCTCTGGGTGACAAAGAAAATTTTAATCTTGATTAAATATTCATATATATCCATCTCTGTTTAACCCTAGCCTTGCTCAATGTAAACTTTTTAATGCTTTCAAAAGATAAAGAACTTGGGGAAACCCCTGGGGATTTTCAGACGAAACACACATTAGCAAAACACAAAATAAGGCCAATTATCAGTTTAGTCCACAAAACTATAAAAGGCATGTAAATGCGCGACAATGTGTAGATATTCCTGATACTACTATTTAAACTAAATAAGGGGAACTAGATTGCATGCAATTATAGCTACTAAAGTTAAATTAGAATAAAAAGAAAGTCTTGCGAAGGGATTGTCAATCATGGAAATGAGTTCAAATAAATTCTGGATGATCCTCTGGGAGGCCTTTAAGACTGTGTGGGACAATCAACCCTAGAATCAAATTAAGATCACCCACTCCCAAGATATGCTTAAAAGTGCTGTTAGATACTCATGATTTGGTAACTTTTCCAAGTACACCCCCAGCTTTGACAAACATTCTCAAGAAGGTAACTCTCTTTAACTAGCGATCACCTGAAAACATTAATTATAAGAACCTAACAGAAAAACCCCAAGTCAGAACCACTCGTTTTGATTTAAGCTAGAAAGGCCTTTCAATTTAACTTTTGGCCAAAACAGCTATATTATGTATTTGTCCACAGCAAATCTTAGCCTCTAAATGGTAAACAACTTAAGACAACTATCCCAAGCTGGGATTCCTTACCTCTAACAAGCTGAGTGCACTTTACCACATGTGTATGTGGGTGATCAATTGTTAGCTCAAAGCCTGAAAAAAAAAACAACTAGTTAAAAAGCTAAAGATAGTCGAGATACTTTATACTTCTTTTATCTGAATCATCATTAAAGGTCTCTCTCATTTTCCTGTCCCAAAACTGCTGTTCAGAGGCTAAGAGTCACATAAAGTATACAATATGCTGTTTTCTAAGATGCATTATCTCCAAAGCTGCTTATATTTTGACCTAGAAGGTACCACTAAGATAATAAAGCTAATACAGTTTCAAGACCCCTAAGGAACCAATAACCTCCAAACACAAAACACCTTTTTAAGGACAATAGAATATAAATATATGGTTGAAGAAGTAGTCCCTTAAGTGATGACTATCTTCTGAAGCTTAACCTTGAGAAAACAATTTAAAACCTATTCCTGTCTTACTTTGGTTTTGTTCCTTTTCATCATCTTAATCACAATAGGTACTGATCAGTTTATCCAACTCCAATGGTCTTTACCAAAATTACTTAAGGAAGGTCAGTGTGTCTGTAAAAATTTTTGAGTAAATTTCTCTTTTTGCATATGTAAATAAAATTTGCTAGATAAAAGTAAAGAAATTCTACTGAAAAATTTACATGATGCAAATCATTCTAAAATAACTGATTCTTGCAAATTAGATCTTACTGCTTTCCATATTAAAATATTAATAAAAATTTATTCCATCAGAAAAACATCATTGTCACCTAAAGTATGGTTACCTTGAAGATATTTAAAGTAAAAAGTTAATTAGCAGAAATTAACTTCAGAGATAAATTTTGAAGAACTCATTGTGTGTATATATACGCAATAAAATACCAGTAACTTTCTCACACAACTCAAGAAATCTTCCCCTACCTAGAGAAGAGAAAAATGACAGTCCAAAGGAACTAGAAAAAAACCTCTTTATTTTACATATTTGCTAAGCTTTTAAAGACAGTCTCTCTGATAAAAATAATAATAGATAATAACAGAATATCATTAGGGTTGCCCATCAACCGCTATAGATTTAACTTCACCTCCTCTCTGCTGTTCTGAACACTGATTACTACTTTTAAAGGCAAATGCTGTTATCTAAATGTTGTGAACAAACAGACTATAAAAATCCATGAAAGAAAAAACTCCGTTAGATAGTTTCTACTATTGTTTATCAGAAAGTTAAAAACTGCAAAACTTTAAAGAGCAAATCATGAATCCTAGAATTAAAAAAAAACAAACTGCTAACTGCTATTTCAAAGGTCAGCTGTACCTGCACTCTTCCTATGGTATAGGCCAAGGTTAAACTCTGACCTCTAAAACCTCTATAATTTGCAAAAACCTTCCCAAGAGGTTCCTTCTTGTTTCCTAATTTGCAAATTTTAAAATCATATCATTATATGCATTACATACATGTTTGTTTAATGTTTGAAAGGAAAATAAACTTACCTAAAGTCTGCAGAATTATGCTTTCTAATATCACCAGATCTTGAACTTGTTGCAGGTAAGCCTGCAGGTCAGAAGACACATAAATTACTCCCCAAAAAAGCCCAATATATTAAGTATAAGCAATTCAAACAACCTCTCCCAAGGAAAGCAAAGCCACAAAAGACAGGAGTGGAGTTATGAGGTAGAGTAGGAACTGAAATTAATCTTTATCCCTATTCACTACAGATTCTCCTTTTAAAAGAAAAAAAAAAGTGGTATACTGAGAACACTTTATTCATAAACAGCTACAGAAAAAGCATCAGAGAGTTTGTTCATTTTCAGACCGACATTTTAGGTTTTAAAGTTCATGTGCTGTAGACACAAGAAAATTAAAAATACACCTTTTTTCACCATCATCAAAATACATTTGCAGAGCCTTCCTAGAGTACTGTAGGCAATCTCAAACATTTGATTCCTGTTAAACCTTCCCCTTTGGGGTAATGCTAGATTTCTGAAAATTCATGGAAGAATTCAAAGGAAAAGGGAACAAACAAAAAAAATCTCTCAGATTTGTACCAGCCAACACTGTAGTCACTATCCACACATGGCTATTGAGCAATTGTAATGTAGCTAGTCTAAAGTGAAATGTGCTATGAATGTAGAATACACAATGGATTTTGAAGACTTAGTTAAAATAATAATAACGTAAACTATCTCACTAACAATGTTTTAATATTAATTATATGCTGAAATGACAATACTTGGGGTTAAAAAATACATTATTATAATATAAAATATTAAAATTAACTTTTTATTTTAAATGAAGTTTAATGAAAAGATAAAAATTTTAAGTTACACATGACTCCTCTTACTGCCATTGGACAGCACTGGTCTAGAACTGTAGAAGAATGAGACTTGAGCCAGGAATTAAGAGACTTACGTTGTAGTTAACTTTCCACTTAACTTTATGATCTTGAATAAGTCCAATAAGGACTTAACCTATGCTATTTTTCCTTTCCATATAGTGAAGAAAATATCTTCCCCTTATCGACTCACCAGGAATAGAAACTCAGGTGAGAAGTTGTGTAAATATACTTCAGAGAAGGAAAAAAAGTGGCAATTATTTTTTATTTCATTAAAATAAAACTTTTATTTAGTCAATTCAATAGACCAATGGCATTTAGTAGTCTCAGATCTAAATAACAGTCCAGAGTAATAACTTTTTTTCTTTTTAACAAGAGCTACTAGTATAGCCCAAAGAGGAGATGAAGAAAGTCAAGACACTGCCACGCGAAACACTTAACTCACATAATTAGGGGCTATTATCAAAACCACCCCCCTGCAAAAAAAACCACTTTCTCCAATATGATCACAAGAATACACAATTCCGTTTATCTATTTGATAAAGGATAACCCATGCATTGATTGTAAGAGACTTAAATAATCTATTAACAGAAACCCATAATTTTTTTTCCCAAGCACTTAAAAATGGCAGACTTCTCAATTTCTCATATCTCATCGTTCCCCAATCATTGACTTCTAAAGCCAAGAGAGAGTTGCCCTCCTTTAAAAAGAAGTCAAGAGGGGCTGGCCCCGTGGCCAAGTGGTTAAGTTCCCGCGCTCCGCTGCAGGCGGCCCAGTGTTTCGTTGGTTTGAATCCTGGGTGCGGACATGGCAATGCTCATCAAACCACGCTAAGGAAGCATCCCACATGCCACAACTAGAAGGACCCACAACAAAGAATATACAACTATGTACCGGGGGAGCTTTGGGGAGAAAAAGGAAAAAATAAAATCTTAAAAAAAAAAAAGTCAAGAAAGGATGGAAGGGAAAAACAAAAAAGCTGTATGTACATGCACAGGACAAATGCCTGGAAGAATATATACCAAAACCGTAATCAGCAGTATCCTCCTAGGAGGAGGAGGAAAGATGAGCTTTAACTTTTACTTTAAATGATTCTTAAGTGTTTGGATACTTTTATAATGAGCATATATAACTTATAATTTCTTAAAAAGTTTAAAAAAAAACACCATTGACAGGACTAATTTTTTAAAAATACTCATTAACAAAAATTTATCTCAAAGAATGTTCTTCATAATGATATTAGAGTGGTGAAAAGCTAGAAATTACCTTCTTAACAGAGAATGGTTAAAACACATATATGTATATGATGAAATACTATCTCAGCATTTAAACTGGACAATAAGATGGGAAAATATTTGGGATATAGTAAGTAAAAAAAAAAACAGATACAAAATATATACATGTATAGCTATTCATAGAAAAAAAGCTAAAAATAATAACGATTGACATATATCTGAGGTACAAATTATACCTAGGCGACATATTTTCTTCGTTGTTTTTCTGCATTTTCCAATTTTACCACAATGAATACAATTAACTTTTGCCATAAAATTTCTGTTTTTGCTAAGGAAAACAAACACTAAAAGGTTCCTTTAACAGCCCCCATTCAGACTTCAGTAAATCAAAGTTACAAAACTAAACTAAGATCAAAATAAATTAAGAAGAACAGGTGATATGAGTAATTAATCCCCTACCTCACTCCTGGTATCAGGAAGTGATTCCTGTGGATGGAGGCAAGCATGTGCTACTTTGATGACGTGTTCCAATTTTTTTGGCTGCTCCTCTACTTTAGCTGCTAGAAATAAGGCCGCTGGAGCCACAGACTGGATGGAGAGAAAACAAATCATTTATTATTTGTTTAGTCCTAGATCAAGGTAGATCTAAAAAAGAACCAAGCCTCAAACCAAGTTTCTTTACTTCAACTTCATCACCCCTTGCTTACGCTATTTCCTCTATTTAAAATGTCCTCCCCTCTTCTATCTGTAATCCAGTCCACTTTCGAAAACCAATCCTTCAACAAACTCTCTCTCATTAAAAACTACTTAGGTGAGGGGCCAGCCCCATGGTGTGGTGGTTAAGTTTAGCACAATCTGCTTCAGCAGCCCAGGCTCACGGGTTCAGACCCCGGGTGGGGACCTACACCACTCATGGGTCATGCTGCGGCAGTGATCCACATATAAAGTGGAAGAAGAGCGGCAAAGAGGTTAGCTCAAGGCTAATCTTCCTCAGCCAAAAAAAAAAGAAGAAGAAGAAAAAAAAGCTACCTGTTCAAGAAGCCTCTGGATGTAAATGCTGGCTTTCCATTTAAAATAAGGTTATTTATTAAGTTTGTATCAAAGCACTCTATATACCTTGTTTTAAAGGAGTAAATTGAAATGTCCAGGATAGGCAAATCCATAGATACAGAAGAAAGTAGTTTGGTGGTCACCAGCAGCTAGGAGGAGAGCGGAACAGGAGTAACTGCTAAAGGAGTAGTTTCTTTCTGGGGCAATGTAAATGTTCTCAAATTAGGTTGTGGTGATGGTTGCACAACTTTGTGAATATACTAAAAACCAGGGAATTATACACTTTAAAAGGATGAATTTTATTATATTCAAAGTATCTCAATTATATATATGAGGGGGAGCACAAATCTTAAAAAAAAAGGAATTCAAAGTATAGTATTATATTCAAGAGGTTAAACATAGAAGGAACTTAGAGGGGGGAAAAAATTGAAGCAAGTACACAAGTAGACAACAAACTCAGATACTAAACAATCTAAGAGATTAGAGCAATATGAGATAAATGTAGCCTGATGATCTGGGAAATCTCAGGAAGCAGAAGTTCTCCTGAATCATAACAGGAATATTTCAATGAATCAAAGATGGCAATGGCAAGAGCTGGAATTGGCCAGGAGTCAAAGAAATGCAATAAATAATTTTATAGAATTTAAATAGCTGTTTCCCTTTACTGAGTAGAACTGACAAGCATCCTAATACTTATTTGTATCCCTGCTATACTTTGCTAGAACAGATTTTTCTCCACAAATTCAACTCATAGTAACAATTCTCTTCCTTCATATTTGTTGCAGTTATATATGCCATTTGCTACATATACATTCCTAGACCTTACCATAAGGGAAGCAGAACCAGAGGAAAGTGGGCATGAACAAAGGTGTGGGGAATCAGGGCGTGAAGTACATTCTGAACACCAAACTGAGTAGTTCAATGATACAGATACTGGAATGTGGGACACAAAAAATTTTTAATGAGAGTGACAACAAAGATTTTAGAAAAAAATGCAGAGTTTCAGAAATATTTAGAAAGATTAACCCAATGGTAGCTGGGACAAAAAGGAGGAAAGGATAGGCTACATTAAAAGTTAATTTTTAAAAAACAAAAAATCTTAGAGGGCCAGCCCTGTGGCATACTGGTTAAGCTCAGCGTGCTCCACTTCAGCGGCCTGGGTTCACATCCAGGGCAGGAACCTACACCACTCATCAGCCATGCTGTGGTGGCAACCCACATATAAAGTGGAAGAAGACTGGCTCAGATGTTAGCTCAGGGCTAATCTTCCTCAGCAATAATAATAATAATAATAATAATAATAACAATAAAAAACCAGAAACAACCCAAAAACCCACCATTAGGGAGCTGGTGAAATAAATTATGGGAACTATACAAAGAAATACTACGTGGCCATTTAAAATAATGAGAAACCGATATGAAAAAAGGTCCAATATGTACCATCAAATGATAAAGGCAAGTTGTGTAAGAGTAGTACAGTAAGAAATGATTTTTATATAAATACATAAATGCTAGTATATGCACAGAAAAATGCCTGGGACACTCTATGCCAAAACATTTATCAATGGTTACCTCTGGAGAGTGGGATTACAGAGCCACTTTCACTTTTATTATACATTTCTGTATTGTTTTCATTTCTACCATGAGCATTTTTTACCTTTGTAATAAGAAAACAATAACATGAAAAATGCACGGGAGCTTGATAGGACATACAATATATCAATGCCACAATGGTGTATTAAGTCCTCCCAAATTTGAAGCTGGATTCATCACAGCTAAACTCTTAGAATTAACATACTAAAGGGGTGATTTTTTTGATCTGTTAACTCTAGGACGTACCTAAAATCAGTTCTCTAAAGAGAATCAACAACCCCAAATTAAGAGTCAATGGAGGGGGCCAGTCCCATGGCAGAGTGGTAAGTTCTCGCGCTCCACTCTGGTGGCCCAGGGTTTCGCCAGTTCGAATCCTGGGCAGAGACATGGCACTGCTCATCTGGCCATGCTGAGGCAGCGTCCCACATACCACAACTAGAAGGACCCACAACTGAAAAAACATACAACTAGGTACCAGGGGGCTTTGGGAGAAAAAGGAAAAATAAAATGTTTAAAAAAAAGAGTCACTGTATTTTTGAAAAGGTTATGGCATCCAAAAGAATCTCTCTATAGTGGATAATTACCAGATCATTCATCCATTCAACAAGTTTACTGAAGGTGCTTTGAGGATACAGAAAAGTGAGTCTCCATCCTTGCTAAGTTTAATACATAGGAAATAAGGAAAGATATAATTTAAAAAGTAAAAGTAGAGTAAGTATATATTAATACATATACATGTATAAATTGATTTGAGATGTATTTCACCCTAGATTTCAAATCTTTACCATAATAAAAGGGAAAAACATAGAAAACTTTCAGAATTAGCAAACAGTATGAACTTCTCTTCAAATTTCATTCTTTACCCACTACCTTCTATTCCAGGGCTATCACAAAGCCTCACTGAACACTTCTCTCTCCCTAAATAAGGGCGTGCTCCTTGCAACCTGAGGTAGGTCAGGGCAGGAGGCAGGGAGGCTAAGAGTAGAAGAAAGGTAAACTGACTGGATAATCAACAAAAATAGGGAATACTTAATCCACAAATCCAAAGGGCCTGCTGTGCAACTACTCCCAATACTGAGTCTGCAAACATCTTACACTACCAGAACAGCACCCTGTTTCACAGATTCTCTCCCTATGGCATAAAAAAGGAGCTCAAAACCCATCATCCGAAGGATGAGTCTGAAACACTTTTCCTCAAAAAAAAAAGAAAAAGAGAAGAAATATTTGACTCACAAATCCATATGACGTGTTCATCAAGTTTAGCCCTATTAACTTCTGATTTTATTAAACAAAGATAGTCTTACCTGCAACTGGGATATCACTATGCACCTGCTTCCAAGTCATTTACAATAATGTTAAATAGGACCATTTCAGCTAGCAAAACTGAAAATAGCACTATTTACAATTCTGTCCAGAAAAAAAAAATCCCTTTATTACTATTATTTTACTTTTCCTGTCTTAAAAGTCATCCCCTAGTCATCACATAATGTACCTTCCCCCTCCAACCAGTCATTGATTGGAATTTTATCAAAGGCTTTTAGAAATTCTAAATAACTTACATTCACTTGTGTTCCTGTGACCATATTATTTAGCGCTTCAAAAATAACAGTTAAATTAGGCATGGTTTTCTCTTTAATGCTAGTCTCCCAGCCCAAAAATGTTAAGTTTAATGTTCAATAATCTATTTCTTTATTAGAGAATCTACCTAATCTAAGGAAGCACTAAACCCACCAAACAATTAGCTAGACAATTGACAGGAAAACTGGAAGGCTGGATTCAGAACAGCAGTGTAACACACAATGAAAGAGATCAACCCCAAATTCTAAACTTCAAACTCCAGTTCAGCAGTAAAGATTAAAACCACAAACAAAATATAAAGTTGGAATCAATCACAAAAGGAATACACTATATAAAAAAATTATACTTACATTTCGATGGAACTGTGTAAAGGACTGAATCATGTAGAATCGATGCATGTATACGATAGCAGTGTTGATAGTCAATTGTGAGCTAAAATATTCAAGTTAAGGACCCAAAACAGCAGGCACTACAATTCCCCAAACCTCCCTACCACCTCTGTGTCCTCCCAAAAGGACCATGCAGCCAAGTACAGTAGATGCTCCTAAAAGAAAATCATACCTACCTCTCCAAATTAAAGAACAAGCCTGTTTTCTTTCACCAAATTATTAACCACCAATTGACACTTAGCACAATGCCTTACACCTAACAGATATTCAATATAAACTTGCTGAATTAATAATCAAGCTTCTCAGCATGTGCGGATCAAGACAGAATATAAACCAAACTATGTAAGACCTAAATCGTCACGTGCTTACTGAACATCCTGCAGTGGTGATCCATTAGCTCAGGATCTCTCTCCACTTGTTTTAAAATGACCTCCCTGATCCAGCCCCTATGTATGTCTCCACTATCCCACTGTCTAAACTCCAGTAATTAACTTTTCAGTTCCACTTCTCTTTGGCAACCGAGCCTTCTCATTTGGTGATCCCTGGGACCAGAAACACTGTGGAATGATTTGCTGTTCATTCCCTGAAAAGAAAAACTTTTAAATGCCTTACTTCTGAAGACCTGAGAAGACACCGTCGGGTATACAGAGATGAGAGCGTCCCATGATGGCAACAATCTTAACAACATACATAAAAAGAAGAGGGCTAAGGTGCCAGGAACAGAATTTCAAACAAAAAGTTTAACTCAGCACTGAGTGGAGACTTAGGAAACAAACTGGATATCTACGATAAAGAGGACACCTCTTTCGAGGTGAGCCTAACCTTAAGACACAAATATTAGCGCCAGCAACACATTTAAAGAGAAGTTGCACCCAAGAATAATTTTTCACTTAGAGAATGAAAAGCACTTGAAAACTGCATTAGCTTTCTTTGCTACAAAATGAGTATATTTTCTGACAAATAAAAATACTTACAGGGGAAAAAAATCACTAAATTACCTCATCTTTGAAATGAGGAAAAAGAAAAGACATCAGCACTCTGAGTAACTTAAAAACACATTATTTTGTAAACGGTTTTTTAAAACATTAGATTCGTAGGTCTATAATCCCTACAAATCTAATCTGACATCCTTCCTTCCTCTGAAATTCTATAAAACTCTAAGAGTAGCTACTATTTGAATATCTGAAGGTCACGCATCATGATGGGCACAAAAATCAAACTGAAGAGGTATCACCTCATTTTACAGACGAGAAAACCAAGAATTTGACAGCTTTCTTAAACAGCTAGTAAGCAGGAGGAACGGACTTTGAAGCACAGCTGGGGCATTAACTGTAGGCCACCTTCAGGTACTGAATTTCTCAAAACTCTCTTTACACACTAAGTTCAAAAGGCAGCCATCAACCGTGAAACCTCCACCAGACCCCTAGGGCACAGCGGAAAAGCAGAATCTCAAAATCATCAGAGCAGAAAATGAGAACACACCGAAAAGTGACCAGGAAGCGCTGGTTAAAATACAAAGCCGGGAAGGATACGAATTCCCAGCAAGGCTGGCGGCCCGAGCGAGCGAGCGGGAAATTAACTCCGCCTCGCTTCCCCCGCGCGAACGCTGAACATCAGACCGCCCCACCGTAAGCTCTCCCACCTAGACATCCAGCCCCTGCCCACCCTCTTCCCGCTTCCGTCCTGACGGAGCTTTGAGGCCTGGACGCCCGAGCAAGGCGGGACTGACTCCTAAGGCCACAGGCCTAGGCCGCAAGGATACACGTTAAGACGCTGCCCCATGTCCTGGAGCAGATTGGCCGCCTGCTGGCGATAAGAAAGTTCTTTATCTGGGTCCAGGCCAAAACGACGAGATGGACTATTTTCCAGCTGTTCTCGAGTAAAATACCACCGTTTGTTGTTGTTCTTCCTCTCTCCCTCCATAGTGCTTCAACTAGAAGGCAGCGGCGAAGGCTGCAAGCACTTCCCAGCGTCACCTAAGCGGCGACACACATCCGCTGTGCGGGGGCAACTGCGACGTGACGGACTTCCGTTAGCGGTGGACGGCTAGGTTGTGACACGCTTCCGCGGAGGAGGGTTAGTTAAAAAGGCTACTTCCGGAATGGACCACGCGGCAACCCGTAGCCGAGTTAACAGCCAGTAGGCGACTAGGAAAGACCTTGGGTCTAGGAGGCAGGCGCCAGTCATGTGACCGTTGGGAGGTAGCGCGGGGGTTCGGAATTTTCGTTCAAAACCTCGTCTCCTCCCGCGAGAGCTGGGTGGAGCACTGGCGCCCGGGGCGAGGGCGCGAGGCAGCAGTTGTGGAGGCGTGAGGCGCCCGCCCTCGCGCCGCTCCGCGGCTCCTCGGAGAACTTCGTTTGTGGAGGAGGTGGCGATATAAAATGGGGCAGCTGGAGAACTTGACAGAGAAAATAGGTGAGATTGTCAAAAACTGAAAAAAGTGATCAGAGAGAATGGCCCTATCGTATATCCTAACATAAAGCAAATAGAGGCGCTTACATTGTTGGTAGTAGTGTCGATGAGCCGTTTGAAAACCCGCTTTGCGATTATGTAGCCGAAGCCTTGAAAATGTTCCTACGCCTCGCCACAGTGATCCAACTTAAAGGAACAAAATGAAATTAATAGTAGTAATTTAGTGCTTACTATGTCCCAGGCATAATACTGACTGTTAAATACACTATTTCGTTTAATCGGCACAATCCCAAAAGGTAGTAACAGTTTAATCTACGTTTCGCGAGCGGTGAACTAACACTCCTTCGATGTGGAAAGCTTCCATCGCCCCCCTGCGCAGGCACAAACTTGTAAGTTCCTGTCTTCTGTCAAGATGTAGCCAAGCTCCAACGCTTCATGGCTGTTTGCTCTTGGGCAAGATGCTTAACCTCTCTGTGCCTCTTGTATAAATGTAAAGGATAATAGTACCTACGTTTTACGTTGTGAAGGATCAAATGAAGTTTAATTAAAAGCATTTATAATAGTACTTGGCGCATAGAAAACATTTAGTAGATGTTATCGTGGTATTATTACATTGTATTGAAATCGAGGGCAAGGACAAGCCGCCTTCAGTTTGGTATCCCCAGCAGCTACCTATTACGGTCCTGGCTCTAGTAGTCAATAAGTGTCAAATAAATGCTCACACACCCTACAATAAAGAAACGGAGGCTTAGAGAAATTTAAGTAGATTTTAAAATCAAGTCTAATTCCGTTGTTCTTTCCATTCTAGCAGACTGTATCCTTGCTTTTCTGGAACACTCAATCTACCCTGATTAAATTTGGGTAATATTAGAATCTTTTGTCTCTTATAATATTTTGAGTTTTGTCATTTCTAGACATGGCTGCTCCCACTCAGTAAATTTGATTTTAATTCATCTTCAGAAGTCTTTCCTTCCATTTCAGGCCCTCCTCTGCCATGTACTGCTTACAGTCAGCATTAGCTCCATTTACTCCAGAAAAGTTGAGGTTCGGGAAAATTTAAATTACTTACCTGAGGTTATAACATTAAAAAAAAAATTTTAAACAAAATTTTAAACTTCTTCCTTTACAGACTTTTTTCTTTTAATGGAATAAGCACTTTTTCGGTTATGTAGTCATGTATGTTGTCTTTTAAAGAGCCAAAATTCTCTCTCTTAGATCCTCTTGCCTATCTCTGACTTGTGTTTGGTTCTCCACTTAATCTCTTGGCTTGATGATTCCATTTTTGAATTTGCTTTCCTGGCTGAGTATACCAGTCTTCCAAGAAAAAGTTGTGGTGTCTGCCAGGCTTCAGGCGGTGCAGCTGTTGACCAATGGCTCGCTACCCTGCTGTACAGAAGAGAGGGAGCTGTGTAAATCAGAGAAAGGAAGTATTCTTTGACTGAAGATAAAATTATTTGAAAGTAGATGGCAGTGATCACATAATTGCTAAACATGAGTTTTTGAGTCAGGCCTGGATTCAAATCCTACCTATTCTTTTTTTTTTAGCCATCTTAACCATTTTTAAGTAAGGTCAACTATATTCACATTATTATACAGCAGGTCTCAACAACTTTTTCATTTTGCAAAACTGAAACTCTATACCCAGTGAACAGCTCCCCATTTCCCCTCCTCCCAGCCCTGACCACCCCCAAGCTACTTTCTACCTCCGTGAGTTTGACTACTTTAGACACTTCATGTAAGTGGAATCATACAGTATTTGTCATTCTGTGACTGGCTTATTTCACTTGGTATAATGTCCTCAAAATTCCCAGCTGTTCTTTTAACTGTCTGATCTTAAGTGTCATCTCTGCATCCTGACAGAACACCATCTGGCACATAGTAGGTGTTCAGTACATTTTTATTGTCAAAATAATGTTAACTTTCAGATTCATTGCCCTTAAGGAACAATTAACAAAATCTTAAACCAGAGGAATTTTACTTTTTTAAAAATTTTAAATAGGACTCCATTTCCCGTAAATCACACCTATGAGGCTCTTCTTCCTATTCACTAGACTAATCTTGTTCTGGGTAATCTTATTTCATGGTTTGATTTTGTTTTGCATTGTGCTCATGAATATCATATTTCAGTCATGTCAAACATTCTTACCATTTACTACTGTTAAAACAGTTTCTCCCCAACATTCATATAGTCTCCAAATTAAAATATGAAATGATGGTGTGCTATTTTTAACTATCGACAAGTCCACGTTCAGTGATGTCACATTGATAGCTTGAAATTGGCCATGGTATGTGTGTACTGGTAAATTATGAACAACTAGCTATCCAGTAAAACAATTGTATGGGTATGTAAACATACATACATTGTTATAAAATTTACTAATACAAAGGATGTGTTGCACACAATTTATAAAAAATAAAATATGAATCTTTATTGTAAATTTCTTATAGTCAACTGATTCTCACAGAATGCTTTCATTGAGTTTTGCCAAACTCTTGAATCAAGAACCAGCCTATGACTGCATTTAACAAAAGAGTATAGCTTTGATGGTTGACATTTTTATTTGCATTGAAAATGAAACAATGAGACTTATGTTGGAACTTCACCTATTTGTCAGTGACTTAAGCAACATCTTTGCTGAACTGGATAATAGTTTTTGAATACTGGAAGACTATTTCAATTTCTTGTGCTATTGACAATGTAACGGCTACAGATGTGATACACTCTTAATCTACAACATTAACATTTTCTGTCACTTTCTTAAGACTAGACAACCAGTAAAACAAATAAACCAAGCCTCTGTTGGTAGCATCTGCCAATTTCTGTAGTATAAATTCTCCCACCATGGCCAATTTCAAGCTATCAATGTGACATCACTTATGAAATATGGAACAGATGAACACCCTATCACATAGTATTTCTTCCATACAGATACAATAGACGGGACTTCTGGTTTCCAATCTGACATGTAAAGAACTTGGAAGTCATCACTCCTGTTCTCACAACAAAGAAAGAAGCGGAACAAACTGAAAGGCAACAACCCTTCTTAAATCCATCAGAGAACTGAGGTGACTGCAAACCACCACAAAAACTGGAGAGACAGGCAGAATCAGAACAGGCAGAACAGGGAATCATGGCTTACTGGGAGCAAAAACTATTACTGGAACCAGCAACTGGTAGGAGTACTTAAAGTGCAATTGACTAATTGCTGGAGACTGAACATCGACTAGATTGAAAGATTCAAAAAAAACTCCTGGGGCCCCAGGCTTAAGGGGTCTCCCCCATTTTCATGAGTTTTACCTCCAGGAGTCCCACAGGTCTTACTATGAAGATTGGAGAAAAATCCCCTCATCATTCCAGCAGGGAAAGGGAAAAAGTAGCTATTTTGAAATATACCCAGAGCATTCAGTTCTCCTTAACAAAGGCCTGTCCTCAAGAGAAACTACTTAAAAGAGTCTAATCAATATGGGAGAAGGAAAATAACCAACTCCAGCCTCTAGCGTTCTTGTTTCACCTGAAGGGGGAAAAAGGACAAGAAGCATTTGTGAAGGTCACAGTCCAGGGACACAACCTCACTAAAGGACTGAGACCTAATAGGATTATAGAACACTTCCCCTCCCCCAACTTGACCAACAGGGGATTACAACTGAAAGAACTACAAACTCAGACCCTACTTAAAGAGTCTCTAGGGAAACCTGAAGTCAACAGAGGAGACAAATACAAGGACACTGGAGGAAATTTTAGCCTCTGACTCCTATTGCTATACCAAACAGGAAACACAGGCTAACTCCCAGCCAGATAAACATAAAACTTTTTACCCAATATATTGTGTCTGACTTTCTACAAAAAAATTACAAGGCATGCTAAGAGGCAAAAAATACAGTCTAAAGAGACAAAGCAAGCATCAGAACCAGACTCATATATGGCAGAGATTTAATTATCAAACTGGGAATTTAAAATAACTATGATTAACATGCTAAGGACCCTAATGGAAAGAGTGGACAATATGCAAGAATAGATGAGTAATGTAAGCCGAGAGATGAAAACTCTAAGAATCAAAAGGAAGTGCTAGAAATCAAAAAAACTGTGACAGAAATGAGGAATGCCTCTGATGGGCTTATCAGTACACTGGACACAACCAAGGAAAGAATCAGTGAGTTTGAAGATAGATCAGTAAAAATTTCCCAAACTGAAAAGCAAAGAGAAAAAATGAAAACAGCAGAACACAATATCCAGACACAATAGATGTAAATAACCTCATGAGCATAGATAATAGTAAAATGTAGTAAAATAATTAGGGAGACAAATGACTTTAGTATTTACTACTTTTATTTTTAATATAGTTCATTCAATTGTAAGTTTAGATAATTTTTAATAATGGCTTGTTTAACAACCAACTTGCAAATTTCTGGAAAATTTAACAAGCAGCTCTTGAAAGTCTGTAACTGGCTCACACTGCTGCTTGAAATAAAGACTCGTTGGAAGTACCATATTCAGATTTAAATACGGTTTC